GTTAGTCAGAGCTAGGAACAGTGTGTCCGGGTAGTTGCCAGTGAGGTAGTCATTGGGTGGGGTATCTGAGCTTGGGATTTTATTGGCTAGGTTTTTTCCTAGTGGAGAAGAAATCATCGAGTCTGTTTGCTGTTTCAGTAGGTGGGAATTGGGGTTCATCTGGTTTTGTTAATTCAATTTCGCTATTTCGTGTTATCTTTTTTGTTCCTAGTATGTCTGATAGGGTTTTCCAGGTCTTTTTTATGTCACTTCGTAAGTTGGATAATCTGTTCTCATACAATTTTTTAGCCCTTCCTATTAGGATTGACGAGTAACGTTTTGTTTGGTCTCTGGTTATGTGGCCCATTCTGTACTGTTCTTCGTATAGGTGCTTTGTATTTATGGATTTGATGATACTGGGTGTTAGCCAGGGACTGTTCAGTCTCTTTGCAGTCATCTGTTTAGTTTTTTTTAGGGCAGTGCTTGTTATAGAGGTATTGGGTCTTTTTTAGAAAATTATTAATACATTCGTCAATATCTGTATAGATTTCTAGCTCAGTGTGCCAGTCAATGTTTGTCACTGCTATGAAGTTATTAATAGCTGCCTCATTGTGAAGTCTGAAAGTGACTTTAGTAGTGTCCAGGGGTAATTTGCCAAGGTTTGTTATGAGGAAGGTAGGGTAATGGTCTGGTATTATCTGTGATTATGCCTGATCTTAAGGGGGATATGGTGTTGGTCCAGATGTGGTCTAGTAGGGAAACGCTAGTCTCTAACTCTTGTAAGTTTTGTTACTGTTGGTAGCAACATGCAGTTACTCATAGTGTTTGTGAATTCAGTAACATGTGGGTCTTGGTCTTGTAGGAGATTTATACTGAAGTCACCTGAGAGTACTAAGTGATCTTTGTTCATGTGTGCATCAGTCATCATACTTCCTAGGTTTTCACTAAAACAGCTAATGTTTGACTGGTACTCCGTAGATGTTTATCACCGAGAGGTTTTTGTAGGTATTTGGATTTGAATTTAGCTATTATATATTCCCCATGTTCATCCCTTGTGCAAGTATTAGTGATACATTCTAGTTGGTCTGAGTAGTATATAGCTGTGCCACCCCCTGCCTATATATGTCTTTCTACCTCTATGTTAGAAGTGATCAAGGTCCCAGGACCGAAACGTTTTCTGATAAATGTCATAGTTTGCTTACAAGTCTTTCTAAACCAACTTGTCGGTATTTATTACCAAGGTTTATACCACTGTTCTATGTATGTAGTAGGCACATGAATAAGTGTGGATGTTCTTTATGGTGAGCAAATTTAGACTTATGAATAGAGGTGGAGTATGCTGTCACAAGTGGGAATTTGTTATTCTGATTGCAGCCTTTTGCTGGGTTATTAGAGGCCTTAGGCGATTTGATGTTGATCCCCATGCACAAATTCCATATGCAAGATGGGGGTAGATGAGTGGATGATACAGTGCAAGGAGAGCTGATTGTGGAACATAGTACTGTATCTTTGATAGTATGCCTACTGTCTTAGAGATTTTTTTGAAAATTTGTTGTGTGTCTGGAAATTGAGGCTACTGTCTAGGTGGATTCCTAGGAATTTTCCCTCTGAGTCTTGCGAGTCTAGGAACTAGAATGCCCGTGGGGAGAATCCCAAAGGCAGAAAACAGGAAAGGGAGGAGGAAAGGGGTGAAGGGGGGGATCAGGGGATAATTAGGTTCAGCCTGAAGACCAAAAGGTCTAATTCTTCAGTCTAATAGCCTCTTTACTGCAACAAGGAGCCCCCTTAGAGGGACAGTAGTAGATAATGAGGTAGAAACATCAAACAAGGACTGAAAAAAGTTAGAGGTGACTGTGGAAGTAGGTACTATAGAGGTTTGAGGCTGCACTCCAGAACTCTGAATGGCAGATCAGCATATCCTTAATCTATCCAGATTCCACAGCAATCACCACCACCACCACCAAGGGCCCCAACAGAATAGGATGGACAATGATTCCTTTTCAACTTAGAAGCTATAATTTCCAAGGAAAAATACCCAGATTCCAAATGTAGGAAAGGGAGGGGTGGGAAAAGGTGGTATGGGGAAGATGGGGCTAGGAAGGGGAAGAGTGGGTAGCAATTAGATTTGGTCCAACTTAGTAGACAAAGTCCAGTTCCTTAGATAAGGAGCCTCTTCATGTCAAGGAACCTCTAAAGTTTTAACAGTAATAATGGTGAATATCCTTATTTTAATATGTATGCAGCTACTGCTACAAAATTATCACACTACTATTTAGGGAAAAGCAATAAACCCAGAGTCGTACAGCACCTGGGAAAATACAAGGCAATCAGGTTCAGTTTATCATCATCAAGGAACCCTCCTTGTAGTAGTTTCATTTACTGAACAGCAGGAAAAAGATGAAGCACTACATAATTAGCCAATTGTTACTACACTCAAAAGGAATTATCAGAAAAATACGAAGAGCCTAGGCCATTTTATTAAAAAAAAAAATTATCTCCAAGAATTATGATTTTACCATACTTTTAATGAATTTCTGCACCTTTACCCCTCAAGGAAGGTTCCTTGATGTTGGTGAGGGGCTCTTGATTTAGGGAACTGGATCTGTGCTCCAGTTCCCCGAATTAAGCCTGAATGCCTTCCACATCCCCCCCCCAGCGCTGTATAATCCTCCGGGTTTAGCGCTTCCCCTTAATAATAATAATCTGCACCTTTACGACATATTTCAGGAAGGTATTCAGATCCCTAACATTATTAATGACTTTCTCTACATTACTTTAAAATGAAATGTACAATAATTCACTGCTAATATGAATACTCCATATCTACATATACACATTATTTATGAAATGTTTCTCTTCAAATTCCTTTATCACACCCGAGTTCATTGCTATACTTGACCCTTTACCGGGCAGGACCGAGTATAGTCGGTCCTCATAACGTGGTTTTTTGCACACGTCCTCCGACTCCCCCAGCGCATCTAAGTTCCCGTTCTCTATTTCTGACCAATCACAGACCTTCCCTGAGTCGCCCCAGCTGAGCGGTGATGGCGGCTGCTCGCTTCCCATTGGTCGAGAGAGCAGAATGTAAACACTTCTACCTTGCTGGCGCCAAAACTCATGTTTCTCGGTTGAGTGCTCCTTGCATACTGAAGCATTTCACCCTATACAATGTTGGTAAGTACTGATTTGTGTGTCTAGTGTGTAAATGAATAGTTTAGCCATTTTGATATATATATGAAGGCGTTGTGAAGCATATTACGAGTGCACCATGCAAATGAAAAAAGTGCAACAAAATAGGACCAAGTACAGTCGTTCCTGCCCTTTTAGGTGCAGTTTTCAAGTTTCGGTATATAAATATTTCCATAGAACTTGGTAGTGTATATATGAATTCAGTAATGGTCTGGGTGTGTACAGAACATTTTTATTGTCCTTCCAGATCAATAAGAAATTGTTCTACGGTGAGTCCTCCAAGGATAAGTCGAAATTTGTCTGTATTTGGGATGATAGTGACTCAAATCACGACCCAGATGACCTGGAAGTGGTGGAAACTGATGATGAATACTTGCCACAAGATGGAGAGGTGCCAACAGATGAGGAGGAAGCTATGCCACCATCCAAAAAGAAGAAATTGAACAAGAAGAAGATACTTGCTTACATGCAAGTATTGCAGCAGCAAGAATAATCATGTCACATCCTCATTTTCCTGTGCCACATGCAAAGTAAACTATCCATCAAGATGGATAGAAATTGTTTCATAAAGCTTCATTGCAGAATTAGTGATGTAAAAGGATTGTTCTTTCTCAGGGAACTCAGGAATATTTCATTTGTAAGTTGTATCCCATTGCAATGTGTCATTGTTGATAAGTAGTTCCTATTTCTATTTTTTAACTGCTTACAAATTGTTCAGAAACCAGTTCCATTTATGTTTTTTATATTGTCTACTTGTATAATAAATTTAAAAAATATTTTTTTTTTTTTACAATTGCAACCTTGCAACATTCTAAATTGTTATACCCCAAACGGGCAGGACCGAATATATTCGGTCTTCAAATATCTGCAATTGCCCGAGATGTTACTTTCACAACTCCGTTTGGATGGTCTCAGTGACCTTACATCGAGTGGCTATCTCCTCATACGAAATTACTTTCAAAATCCGCATTTTAGTCTGCCTTGCCCTCTGAAGGGTTAAAAGAGTTTGCCAATTTCATAAATCAACAAATGTAACCCAGGCAATGCATTAATACCTCTCATTAAGACTGACACCAGGTTTGAAACTTAAAAGTGCTCATTTAAAAATTATCCTAGTTAAAAAAATAATTTCTACAACAAAAATCCTTATATGGATTAGTAAAATTTCTTAAGAATGTTCACAGGAAAATACTTTACATAAAAATTAATATTGGATTTTACAAATAGGAAAAAATTAAAATAACTCAGATTTTTTCAGAAAATAAAAGAATGAATGTTAAATATTTTTTGTTTTGTATACCAGCCTAAATTCAGAATTTAAATTAAGAATATAATCCAGTAATTCTGACTTCCGACTTGTTGAGAAAAAAAAAAAAAAAATGGAAATTTCTTTAATTCAGGCCCCAGAAAATATATTAGTATGACCGAATCAAGAAATCCACATGTCTATCTTATTTAATAAATATTTTAGTTTACTTTTTGCAAAGCTTTGAAATGTACACATAAGGGGGATTACCAACAGACCCCTGGCAGTCTTCAAGCTGGCACTGGACAAGCACCTAAAGTCAGTTCCTGATCAGCCGGGCTGTGGCTCGTACGTTAGTTTGCGTGCAGCCAGCAGCAACAGCCTGGTTGATCAGGCGCTGATCCACCAGGAGGCCTGGTCACAGACCGGGCCGCGGGGGCGTTGACCCCCGGAACTCTCTCCAGGTAAACTCCAGGTATATCCAAATTCCTCAATAAATTTATGGGGAATTACACTCCTACAAGGCATTCCACATCTAAAAACTACAAATGTCCATCTATTGGGCACATTTTCAAATAAATCATACATGTAGTTAGTTTTTAATTAAAGGTTATTCATCACAGCAAATACAAAAATGTGCACAGCAAAATATTGAAGTTTTAAATTATTCAAGCAATCTTTCTTTAATAAAAGCAATGACTACCTAAAATCAGCATATTCTTAGTACGTACGTACATCTGTAGGGCTCACTGTGCCTTTCCTACAAAATTTATTGCTTTTGGAGTGTACAACCAAATAAGAAAATATAAATATTACAATATAATGAAGTAATTTCTTACATAACATTACATTAAACCTCAAAATAATAACTGCACATCAGTTTTTTTTACACATTTAAATTTTATGAGAAATCATCCGAATCTTTATAGATCTCGGAAATAGCCGTTAATGCCTTATTTTTACATCTGCGACTCAATGGAGCTCTTGTGGGGCCAGAGTTTCCATAAGAATTTTCTAGAAAACTTTCGTCACTTATGCTCTTTTTATTCTCATCTACATTTTTTGTTCTACATATTTTAGCCTTTTTATCTTTGTCTTGTGCGGTACCTGCTCTTGAATTTAAACTGTCATGAGGTACATTTTCCTTTTCCAAGCTTTTAATTTGTTTATTTCTTCCACTTGTGGATGCCTGTGTTCTACGTGCCCTTTGTTTATTGTTGATTTTTTCATCTGTATCTGGATCATGATTAGTAGAGATGATCTCTTGAACTACTTTCTTCTCTGATATGGAGGATTTGTTCCTGCATAACCCTATTTTATTTTCCCTCTCTCTTATAATTTTTGTTTTAGTCATTTTATTTGTTGGAGGAGAAGAATCATTTAAAACTGAATCTGTATTTGATTTGTCATTTGGTTGAAGTGATAATGCTTGGAACTGCGAGTCAATTTCATTTGGTGGTCGAGTACTTGAACATTCAGGCAATTGTTCCGAGTCAACATGCTTCTTTTTTTGTTTAATGCTCAACGTGCTAGAACTTTCAGCAAATTGAGTTTTTGAATACTCTCTTCCAGTTGCTTGTGGTCTTACTGTTTCACATGAATGCAAATTTAATGATTGAAGATCTGCACAAACTTCATCATCTAGAATGGAACTGGGAGTAGTTATTAACTGTTTAGAAGCAGCTTTTCTCTTTTTCATGTCTTTATTTGACATAGTAATCTGTTCAGCAGGGTTTATTATATTTTGCACCTTAACTGTGCTAATCTGACTTAACGATTTTTTGTCTCCAGTCTCCTCTGCATATTTACTTTCCTCACCTTGATCTGGACTTTCTGTTCCTATATTTAATGGTGCCATTATTGAAGATATTTTATGGTTACTGTCAATAACAGGTACAGGCATACTTTCATCAGAGTGAATTTTCTTGTGAGTATCTACTTCTTTTCTGCCATTTTTTCCTTTTTCATCAAAAGAATTTAAGCCGTCGTCAGGGTCGCTAACATCCAATTCTGACAGATAATTTTTCCCTGCTACAGCTTTTGGCTTACTTTCCTTAGTGTCAAAGATCCTACCCCATTCTTCCTCCACAGTAGAGGCTGTGTTGGTAAAGCATACGTTTTTAGTATGTTTTGCTGTAATGCTTCTAGCTGAAATTGGTTTTTTAAAGTTTTCATTGAGATCAATAATTTTGGCTAATGATCTCTCACAACTTTCAGATTCATTATCATTTGTATATTTATTTGAATCTTTGTTTAACAGTATATCTTTTGTAGAGTCTTTTTTAGTTTTTCTTGTTGGTCTTGTCTTAAATTTTGGTGAATGATAGCTTATGTCTGTATGCTCAGGACTCTTAGTGACATCTTGTTTACATGATCTTTTAATTCTTTTACTGCCATTATGCTGTTTTGTCTTATTTTCTGAAGATTTAAGTTTTCTAGAATTATTTTCATTTTCTTTAGAGTCAGCATGAATATTTCTGGTTATTTTTAAACCTTCATCTTTGTTATCCTTCAAGAATACTTCATCTCTAATCAGCTTTGGTTTGTCTTTCCTCAGAATTTGCTGGTTATCTTTCTTGTTAACAGGTCTGTCATTTTCCATAATTTTCTTCTCATTAAGAACTTCATCTTTCTTTACTAAGTAAGTTTCATCCAAGAGACTTGCTGGCTCATCTTGTGTAACAGCTTGCGAATTTCGTGTGTTCTTCCTCAAGCTATTACTTGATTTTATTTTTCCTTCCTTCCGAAGTGTACCCAGTCTTTTTTTAATACATTTCAAATCCTCTTCATCTCTTGTGGCATTTTCTGAGGTACCTTCCATACCCAACGAGGAAATTTTAGTTTCTTTAACATTTTTAGCTATTCTCTTTCCTTTTTTTATAGGGAAAATATCAAAGGAGTCATTAAATTCCACTTCCTTAACTGAATTAGCAGTAGCTACTAGAGTAGAATCCTTATCCATAATCAAGGAATCTTCTCTGACCTGTGAATCTTTCATGTTATGTTCTCTCTTCTTAATTTTAGATTGCAGTTGAAAAATACCAAGATTCTTATCACAGTTAACCTCAGTATCTTTCCAACTTTGCAATATTTCACTCAGAGTGGCTTCTGAAGTTTCACTTTGAGTGAAAGTTTCATTTTTATTTGCAGCATTATGTGGAGAAACAGGACTTTGTGCAGAATGAATTACTCGAGATTCATCATTTTCTGTCTCATATTCGTCTAATCCTAATGATAATTTTGGAAAACTGTGCTCCAGAGAATCACAAAGTACCTGTGCCACAAATGGCTGTACTGATGTATTATCACTAGGGATGTCCAAATATGAATGGGTACATTCATCTTGCGCATGATGGTCAGTACCATGTGTCTTGCTCAACAGTTTCTTTGGCATACCTGAACAAGTTTTATCATCATCACTGAAGCCAACTGGTGGTGTAAGAAGACAGGCTCCATATGGACTACTTTCATGACTTAAGTAGCTTGCATCAACATTTTCTTTGAGTTCTGATTGATCTTCATTCAGTGAAACTGATAATTTTTCAGCAGCTTCATTTCCTTTATCTTTTGACATGGTGTATTTTAAAAGATCAGAGATCACTGAATTATCATTTTTCCCTGTTGATCCATCTCTCTGTGTTATTGCAATCATTTTGTTTTTAGGTTCAGGAAGTTCAAAGGGAGAGCTTTCATTTAAGGAATAATTAACAAGTTTCTTGGTTGCTTCTAAAGATTTAGAATAGCAAACAAACTCTGATGAAATCTGTGATACAGACTGCACACAAGATACAGTGGGGGATTCCAAGACTGAGAAGGTTCTATCTTGTTGAAATTCATTTTCTACCTTAACTGTTTCATTGCTAAAATCACTTGAATTTCCAAGGCCCACATAAAATTCTGAGGTGACATTAGATGTTTGCATCTTGTCATATTCTGCAGAAATTTTAAAATTACAAGTTTCAACAGCTGGGGAAGAGAGAGAAAAAGTTTCATTTAAAAGTTTGAGGATTTTAGCTTCAGGTAAATCATTCTGAAGAGTCGAGGAAGCAACAGGTATCTGCTCAACAACTTCAGCATTTAACCGATCATTTTGAAAATCTGGATATTGTGATGCTTCTATTTTGGAACATTCTTCTTTTGAATGATATTTTTGTCTTGACATTTCAGTGCTGCATGATGAAAGTGATAGCACTTCTCTAGAAATTAATGGGACTGCATGGTTTGTTTCATTTCCTAAAGCCTCTTCTTTCAGCTCACTTCCATTACTGTTTTCTGTAAGATTATTATTTGTTGGTAGCACTAATGCATTATGGCAGACGAAAGAATTGCTTTCCAAGTCTTCACTTGAATGCAATTCCTCCTGCAAATGTGGAGTCCTTGGTATCTGCTTTCCAGTGGGAATGTAATTTGCTTCTCTTTGGTCTAAAAGATTTTTTATGTCATGATTTGACGATTCTTCAGAGTCTGTAACCTCACTAATATTTTCAACATTAAAGGTGGAATTTCCACTTGCTTTGTCAACAGATAAAACTTGTAGCTCCTCTTCTGTTTCCACTGATGTTTTTACTGGTGTCCTTGGCAGCTGACGTCCTAGAAAACAAAATTGGCAAAAAGTAAGTAATTAAAGTTATTAAATTCATATAATAATTTAACCCCTTGACTGTCGCAACCCCAAATACTGAGGTGTCTTCTGGTGTCGAAAAATTTAAAAAAAAAAAAAAAAAAATAATGAAATGATAGAGAATCTTTTCCTGATTGTAATGACACCAAAAGAACGAAATTTGATGGAAAACCGACGGAATTACGCTCTTGCGAAGTTAGCAACTTTGGTGATATTTACGAATCGGCGATTTCGCCCACTTTGAGCCCTATTTTCGGCTAATTCCATTGTTCCAGTCTACGAAACTTGGCTATTTCTTTAGAACTACATTTTTTCTATTGACTGAGTACAAGAAACTACCCATTTATTGATTTCAACTACCCAATAACATGGTCAGAAATTTGCAATTTGGCCAATTTCACGAAAATTAAAAAATATGACATTTTCAAAATAAGGCCCAGAATGAACAATACAGACATTCCTGGCTCTAAAATAACATTTTCTTTGTTCATCAGTCATGTCTCCAGGCCCCTCTGATATTACTCTTGCTTTTCTATTTTGAATTTTTATTCATACAAAAAATAAATGATTTACTGCTGTCATGCAGTCTACTGTAATATTGTAATAACTTTATAAATAATGTCAATCCATTCATGACTGCATATTAGAATGGCTACTTGGACATTTATTGGAAAATGACATTTGTTTACTTTTGAACATCGGCAAAAATCAAACATTCCCCCTACTTTGAGCTCCATTTCGAGGTTCTTTTCATAGTAAAACCAATCAAAATCACCTCTATTTCTATACGTTTTCCATTCTATCAAATGAGACCAAGAAAACGAAAATACAAGCATAAATAGTATACGAAAATAGACCATAAAGTAAAAAAAAAAAAATCGGTCGGAGTTTTTTTTTTTATTATTATGCACTGCGTGCTGCAGAATTTTTTTTTATATGGTGCACACTGACCACACAGACCCATTCTCTCACATGTGGTCCTACCACCTTTCTCCTGCTGGATTTGAAGTTGCCAAAATTTGAGTATATATACGTCAAACACGGTGACTCGTAAGACGTATATATACAACCAAAACAGTCAAAGGGTTAAATTTTGATGAAGCATTCAGAATTATCAGTATTGGTGTTAGGATAAATAGAATATTATGAACAGCACATCATCTTGAGTGATTAAATGTGAGGAAAATTGAAGTGAATTTGAGGGGGGAGGGGAAGAATGAACAGATATGGCAAATGAATTGTGGCAAACTCATGAAAGCTGCAAGAGAAGTAGCAAAGAGAACTGAATAGAAGCCTGTTGGGAAGGAAGGAAAGTAATGATCAACATTTTATTTCTTTCAGGTACCATGTACAATTGCTTCTTACATCTAACCTGCACACATGCATATACTATGTGCACAGAATAGTCAAACATGTATATAGCCAGAAATACACACATCTTGCAAGGTCAGTAACATATGCTAGAATATGAATAAAGAATCTTTCAGAATTGCACATACAACACAAGTTAGACATTTGACAGTACTAGACTCCAGCATGGAACCCATACCTGATCAAGCACTGTTAAAGAAAGTCCAAAGGTTCACAACCATGCTAGTACCAGAACTAAGAGAAATACAGTGAGGAGATATTGAAGGAAATTAACCTAACTATCTTGGCTTAGAGAGAAGGCAAGACATGATTATGACAAAATCTTGAGAGATACTGATAGGGCAGATAAAAGATAGACTTTATTAAGACCAGGATCAAAGAGACAAGGGTGGAAACCAAAGATGTAGAAGAGCCATAGTGATACAAGTATTAGTTTCAGGGTGACTGAATATTAGAATGACATGGATAAGATAGTACAGGCACACTCAATCCAGATTCCTCCCATGTTATACCTAATTCAACCAGGAATTTGCTACATGAAATAAAAATTTACTTTTATGTGACTGGAAGGGAGTAGTTGCTGTGCAATAATTTGTTTTACTGAAGGAATTCATACTCTTAGAATGCTCTTTTTATATTGGTATAAAGTGCTTGCATTTTTTGGTAGAGTGGTAAAAAACTGTAGATATACGAACTTTTGTTAAGGGTGAATTATAAGCAATTTTATTTTTAGTTTAGTACCAAAAATATTTATACTTTATGTTCATTTTATGCATATGTAAAGAGGGGCGAGGAAGAGCCAGATGCAAGTGGGGTAATGCAAAAGGCAGTCATTAGAACGAAAGGGGTAAAGCAGCTAGGATAGATGGAAGCAAGACAGAAATGTTAAGCAGAGAATGTGCACGCATCTTTGCATATGGGAAAAAGGGATACGAGATTAAGAATTATAGAGTAATAAGCCTGTTGAGCAAAGTGTATGGACGTACAGTAGGGCCCCACTTATACAGAAGGTTAGGTTCCAAGCTTCTGCCAGAAAGCAGACATCGCTGGAAAGCAGAACGCCATTTTTTCACTTATAAATACATATAAATGCCAGACAACAAATTTACACTATATTAAGTTAGTAATAGAACTAGGCATTAAAAAAACAGCACACAGTACATTCATTACTTACCTCAAAATATGTCGTCTTTACCTTTTCCGGGTCGAGACCACCAATCCTGAATTCACTCTCAAGGTCGAAAAATTAAAAATTAAAAAAACTTATGAAATGACAGAATCTTTCCCCAATGGTAATGACACCAAAAGTATGAAATTTGATGGAAAAACTTGCAAATTTATGCTCTTGTGAAGTTAGCAGTCTCGACAATATTTACACATCTGCAATTTTGTCCACTTTGAGCCTTATTTTCAGTCAATTCCAATGTTACAATAGCTATTTCACTAGAACTCCATTTCTTCTATGAAAAGAGCACAAGAAACCACCCATTTACCAATTTCAACTACCCAATGAAGTGGTCAAAAATTGGCAATTTGGACAATTTCACACAAATTTCAAAATAAGGTCTAGAATAAACAAGACATTCCTTGCATTAAAATAACAATGTTTATTAGTCACGTCTCCAGGTCCCTCTTATATTACCCTTGCTTTCCAAAAAAAAAGTTATGCAGACTACTGACTACTGCATTCTTGTAAAAATGGTATAAATATCAGCGCACCTGTGAAAGAATATCACACTCACCAGTCGACGTCCATTGGACGCATGGTATGATTTGTTTACTCAAACATTGGCAAAAATTGAACATTTCCATTATTTTGAGCTCAATTTCAAGATACTTTTCATTATGAATCCAATCAAAATCATCTCCATTTCTGTAATGTATCTTCCATTCTATCAAATGAGACCAAGAAAACAAGAATACAACCATAAATACCATATGAAAATACACTGCAAAGCTGCCGTTTTAAACCAAAAACATGGTCGGAGTTTCTTTTCTCTCGTTAAGCACTGCATGCTGCAGGATTTTTTTTATACTGTGCACACTGATCATGCAGACCCATTCTTTAATATGTAAGCCTACTAGCTTTCTTCCATTCGATTTCAAGGCGCTAGAATTTATGCGTACAAGAATGGCAGTGACCCTGAAAGGGTTAACGTAGGGCAAGAAGACAGGTGTAGGTAGCCGGTAAGTAGCCTGGGTTACATAGCTATATGATATTTAACCCTTTCAGGGTCCCCAGGCCCTCTCCGAGACTTGTTCTCAGGGACCCTAAATTAAAAAAAAAAAAAAAAATTCTTATGGAAAGAGAATCTTTTCCCGATCATAATGACACCAAAAGTACGAAATTTGATGGAAAACTTACGGAATTAAGCTCTCGCGAAGTTAATGGCCTCGATGATGTTTACGCATCGGCGATTTTGCCCACTTTGAGCCCTATTTTCGGCCAATTCCAGTGTATTAGTCGACAAAAATCATAACTATTTCGCTAGAACTCCAATTTTTCTATAGAATGAGTACAAGAAACCATCCATTTACTGATTTCAACAATCCAATAAGTGGTCAGAATTTAGCAATTTTGCCAATTTCACACAAATTTCAAGAGATGCCAATTTCCAAATAGGGTCCAGAATAAACAAGAAAGACATTCCTGGCAATAAAATAAGTTCTCTGTTCGTTAGTCACATCCCCAGGGCCCTCTTATATTTCTTTGCCTTTCCACTTTAAATTTTCATTCTTACAAAAAATGGAAAGTTTTTACGTTATACAGACTCTGCATTAGTGTATATTATTATAAAAAAAAAAAAGCGTAAGCCACAAGGGCTATACAGGTGCAGGGGGTAGGAAGGAAGAAAGGGGAATTGATGCAGAAGGGAGGGGGGATGACGCATTACAAAAAACAGCGGGGCGGGGATAGTGGGGGGTTGAGGTGCAAAATTGAAGTAAAAGGGGGCTGAAAGTATCAGAATTGTGAAGTAAGTCAGTCTTTGTCAAAAAGTCAAAGAGAGAAAGCCCGGGAAAAGAAAGGTGGGCCATGCGAAAGGGGGGAAAGGGGGGGGGGGGGGGGGACAGGGGAAATTCTGGGGGTTTGATAAAGTGGGCAGTCCAACAAAAGTGGCTGACTGATAATGGATTTTGGCAATTCTCACAGAGAGGGCAAAAACCCTCTCCATAGAATCCTGAGTAAGACGAGTGGGGCCAAATGCGAAGAGGAGGAGTAGTCTCCCAACCTCGACATTTGTGATAAGAAGAGGCCAGAAACCCCATACTCTTTTAAAATTAGACTAAAATTTTTGTTGCCGAGCATAGTAGACACGTTTTCCCAAAAAGGGTGTGAAGGGGGGAAGATATTACAGCAAATAGCCCGTCAGGGAATACCTCTTAAGAAATGGAGGTTGTACTGCGACCGGCAGCAGTGTCTCCCTTTTTCATGCCCTGACGTAACATGACCGGGGCCCCCAACAAAAAACAAATTTTATGTTTGGTAAAGATGCGGCGTACCCAAAGTTGGTAGGGAGGACAAAGGGGGGTGGGTGTATAAAAATTTTTGTATGCCTTAAAACCCATAAGGGATCTGAGACAACCCCAAATGAGACAC